TATTATTATTATTATTATTATTACTTAGTTCATTAGGCGGCATCCCTTGATTTTCATCATGCCCCTTCATGTTTTTGTGCTGTATTTTCACCATTTGAGCTCTCTCACAACCCAAGCACGAGTAGTTGGAAGACGCCACTGATAAGTCCTACTTCTATCTTTCCCTCCGTTTCTACTCTGTGTCACTATGTCTTGCATTTTCCTTTTACTCTACGCTCATTATCGTGCCGATAATTATTTTCCTTTCTCCTCCCACAGCCCCTGCCGCCACTCCGCGGCCCCTCGCTGCGCTGTCGTTTGAGCGTGAAGACAGCATGTACCAGAGACCCTGGGTGCCCATCTGTCGCCTGTACCGAGTGCCCAACCCTCACTTCTCGGCGGACAACTTCAAGCTGCCAGACATCCTTCTTCCTCCACCGGGCATCAGGAGTGAGCTCTTCTTGGATGGGCTGGATGTACGCTTTGTGGATTTGTTTATACCTTATAGACGAGATTGTGATTTAATTGTTTGCTCTTTTTCTTTATACGCTTTTCTTTTTTATCTTTTTAAAATTAAGGTTGGCTGAAAAATATTGAAGATATGTTGCTTTTACGATTATTCTGTATGTCGTATTGGGTCCTCAAGGCTTACGAGTTTGATTCTTCCTCCAACAATAAGTGTGGTCAGTTGCCACATTTGCTGTGTTTTTGTGTATTTGTTCTTTGTCAGATTACGAGTGTATAATGTATTTGAAAGAATTACTGTACGTTGAATGGGATAATATGTATAAAACGTTGATTTAAACTTTATTTCTTTGTGAAGCGCCTAGAGCCACCAGAGAGTGGGCGGTATAGAAGGGATCTTTATTATAACCATTACATGTATAATAAATCACACTACATCGAATTTCATGTATCAGCTTACTAGTCGTGGGGTAAGACGTTGGACTTGCGACACATTTTTAAATTCTTTTAATCGACTGTAGGACCTTACCGGTGAAAGATTATAATACCTTTAGTAAAAGTTCCAAACTCTATTCTTATCAGCCCATTGTGTTGCAAATGGTTCTTAAGAATTTATATGAATAGTAGTAGCCTGCAGCAAGCAGTCTGCAAATCTGTGTATTCTCCAATTGACCAAAAGTGATAATCTGGCATGAAACAACAGGCTAAAGGATTATTATGAAATTGTGTCAGCCTAAAGGTAAGCACTCCACAATAAATAAACGCTTTAAACATTTCTATTTGTATATTCTAAACCACTTTTGACATGTCCACAGGCCCGCCAGATATTGCTGAACGAGATCGAGCTGTCAGAAAGTAAGACCCGACCTGTCTCCACGAAGGCGACATTGTCGAAGTGGAGCCATCCTCCAACAGCCAAGCTAAGGAACATCTCTCAGAGGAATGCCCCGTCCTCTGCTTCCGTGCCCGACATGGTGTGAACAATGATAATAATAATAATAATAATAATAATAATAATAATAATAATAATAATAATAATAATAATAATAATAATAATAATAATAATAATAATAATAATAATAGATAACATTTGTATGGCGCAAATTTCAGCTAAACTTTAACCTCTATGCGCTTCACAATCTATACTATTACCCATGCAGACCTGAGAGCATTCTGAAACAACTTCAACTTACTGGGGAAGCATACAGTGCAAGCGGCCATTTATAGGCGCTAAAATACTAATATACTAACAAGATTTTTCGCTGTCTATGGCCGGGTACCCATTCCCATAAGGGTGAAGTGACGAAAATTCGTTTAAGTGCCTTACCCAAGGACAAAATGTCAAGCCTGAGGCTTGAAACTCCGAACTCGCAACCTCACGATTACGAGTCCGGTAGCCTAACCACTAGGCCACCGACGCCACTTAATAGAGTTAGCAACAGAGCAATAATCAAATTCCAAAATGTACTTGTGAGCATGTTACTGGGATTGAAGATATAGATACTTACTTTACTCATATTGAATTGCTTGATGTCGGAGGAAGGTGTAATTTTCGGCCAGGGGCTAGGTGGTGGCTTTTGTTGTTGATATCGTATTCTTTTGGAGGACCTCTTTAACGACATCCAGTCAAGTTTTGTTTGGTCTACCCCCTGCCCTTCGAGCCTTACTCTTTTGAGTTGTATGCTGAAACTGAAAGATATCATTACGACTATAACAAGGAGAAAAAATTGAGATATTTGAGACATGTTTCGAGAATGTTAGAGACGAGATTTCCCAACCAGACATGGTAGTGGAAATCAAATGGAAAAAGAGGAAGAGGTAGACCTACTGGCATTTATAAAAGTACGACAAAAGATGAGGTAGAGTCTGGATGTGTCAAAATTTGAGGTATTGGCCAGATACAGACGAGCTTAGCATAAACAATTCTCTTTCCCCATTGGTACAAATTAGATCATTTAGGAGATGGGCTGCTTCAACAGTGCCTGTCAGGGTCAATCCGGGCTGTGAGAAATGCAACGTCCCAGCAGAAAGACGGAGATACTAAATGAAAATTCTCTCAACACAGGAATCGAACTCTCGTCTTCCGAGTACAACGACAAAGCGCCTAACTGCTAAACCACGAACCTGATCTCAAAAGAACAGTATTAAAACAAAATGTGGCGTAAGAAATGATACTATCTCATGAAATGAAACCAAAGCTGGGGAAAAAGGGGTTCGACAAGAAGATAACGGTAAACATTGAATAGAAATGAGAATTTGCTGGTAAAGCAAGGAGTTTTCGGGAAGGGTATGTGGTCTGCGGTGTATATCGGGTTAGCAAGATTTACTAAACTGAATTCTTCTGCTGCTGCTGCTGCTGCTGCTGCTGCTGCTGCTGCTGCTGCTGCTGCTGCTGGTGATGATGATGATGATGATGATGATGATGATGATGATGATGATGATGATGATGATGATGATGATGATGATAACATCACAGACGCCGGGGAGAAGAAAAGGAAAAGGAGGAAGAAAGGCAGACGACAATAACGACAAGAAGCAGGACAATGAGGAAATCAATTTTATGATAGAAGCTTCTTTTACCATCTATGAAACTTAAAACAATGGGTGAAAGGGCATATGAATATCAAGGCCCCAAGATCTGGAATGCTTTGCCAAGTACTTAAAGAGAGATCAAATCTTTTGATCCATTCAAATGTCAGGTGAAGTCATTTTTGTTTTTTAAATTAATACGATGAATATTTGGAGGGATTTTCTTTTAGTCAGAGCATACCGTTTTACGGTACTGTTGTACATTATAATACTTTATCATAAAACGCTCAGAGCCTGTGTACTTTAATCGGGGTTGAGCGCTATATAAATGTCATTTAGTAGTAGTAGTAGTAGTAGTAGTAGTAGTAGTAGTAGTAGTAGTAGTAGTAGTAGTAGTAGTAGTAGTAGTAGTAGTAGTAGTAGTAGTAGTAGTAGTAGTAGTAGTAGTAGTAGTAGTAGTAGTAGTAGAGTGTTATTATTATTATTATTATTATTATTATTATTATTATTATTATTATTATTATTATTATATATATATATTTTTATTTTTATTTTTATTTTTTTAAAATAGTAATAGATAGCATTTGTATAGCGCATATCCCTGCTCAGCAGCAGGCTATATGCGCTTTACACTATATTATTACCCCAGCAGACCATAGAACACTCCGAAACATTCTCAGCTTCCCGGGAAGCATACATTATTATTATCATTATTATTATTATTACAATATATAATTCTTTTCTCCGATGACAGGTGACGATGTTCAAGATGTACTGCGAGCAGTACCAGCCAGACTGGCGCACGATGAACAAACAGAGGCGGAAGACGATGGCCGTGGGTGGGCAAGGCATGACGTCCAACAACAGCAACCACTCCTTCTCCGACATAGCCGGGGCCGCCCATGGAGAGGGCGTGGAGATGCCTAGTTGATTACGTGTTGACTGATTTATTGAGGGCTGTGTCGTTGTGAACTGTGACATCTTTTTTTTTTTCAATCTTAGTCTCTGATGAGACGATTGATTATAACTATCGGACAAAACGTTGGTCAGCTGTTCAGAAATACTAAGCTCAAATTTCGTTTGCTTTTGTATAAAAATTTTATTTTTTTTAAAGTAAAGTACAGCAGCTTTACTGGAACTGATTGCATGAGCTCAAGAAGCACAATTTTGTCGAAATTCAAATTCTGTATGTCAGAAAGCAAAATTTAAAAAAAAGAAATGAAAAAGACGTAAGGTAGGTACAATCATTCAAGGGGTGAAACGGTTTGGGGATTTTCCTCCCCCCCCCCCCCCTCCATCTCTTTCTCCTGAAACATGTTGCCGTGTGGGCCAAGTATATTTGAAGAGCATAGTCGAACGACGCAAAGTTGGGTCAAGAGATTTCACGTACAATATGACCCGGCCCAGGATAAAGTCTCTCCTGTTGAGTAAAGCAGCCTAAATATTATTATGCTCTCGTGGAAGTCGTATTGTGCAAATTCTTATTTATTATAGTGTAACTAATACAACTATTTTCACATTAATATTATGAGCAATTGTTTGCTATATAAATTATCATATTATTGTTTGTGTAACACAGTACCATTAAACATTGAGCTGTTTTGCTTATGAGCAGAACTGACACAAGAACAAAACGAAAAAGGTAATATTTTTTTTTTACCCATCGAGAAAATATTTGAGGATTTGAAATACCAAAAATTTAGAAGCCAACACAGTGAAAAACAAAACACTCACAAGTACACCTTCCAGGCTCACACATACACACACACACACACACACACACACACACACACACACACACACACACACAAACACACACAAACACACACACACACACACACACACACACACACACACAAACACATATATGCTCACAGTTAGTCACATAAAAATACCTTTTCACGTTAACAAATGGACATCTAAAAGATGGATAGATAGACAGACAACAGATGTCCACAAATCCTCCCGTCTTTCTTTCCATATTGCTATGTGTTTATTTATCATGTTTTGTCTTTCTTCAGATACGATGCACTATTTAGTTACATGTTCTTTGAATGTCGGTATTGTATGCTCCTGGGCACCGTACAGGCAATGTTATTGGTCACTTTGACGATCTCATAAAGCAACCATCCAGGTTGATGTTAACTGTTCTCATTGGTGGATTACTGAGTTTTATTTTCTATTGTAAAAAAAAAATATGGTTGAAATAAAATACGTAACAAACTGTGTATGTTTCCAAATGTTTCAATGGGTATTCAAAGCTAAGTTAACATCTTTACTAAGAATAAAAGTAAACAACTGAAGATATTGTAACTTAAACACACGTTCAAAAAATAAAGTAAACATAATATGTATTTACAGTTAACAACTGTACTGGCAGTTAATGTGAACAGGCATACCGAAGGTGAACTTGAAACATAAGATTGTTAACTTTGACACCATCCACGTATGTGTGTGAAAATATGCATGGAAACATAAGACCAATCCCTCAGTCTCAGAATGTTTAGTTTAGTTTTAGTAAGAGTTTTACGGGCGCTCTCTACTGCATAAGGTCATATGAGCCCCAGAAGATTAGAGGTGTTACAAAAGAGTAACAAAACATAAAATAGAAGGAGGGGAGATAAGGACGATAGTCGTTTGATAGGGAAGAAGGACCAAACCACACCAGAGCACCTGCCAACCACCCACAGTCTCAGAATATGAGAAAATGGACAAAAAGAAGCACATCAACCTTTTTGAGACAATGACAAAAACTTAAAGTCTTCCCCTGTTTTAGAGGGAGCTGGGAAACAGAGCTCTGAACACAAGCCAGCAAAGCCGCAGTATTAACATTTGAAGTAATGTTTACTGCCACACTTAGAACAACATACACGAATAAACACACCTATGTGGCAGTTTATTCTTGTGCCAAACGAGATAAATAAAATCTGAACTAAGACTCGCGTTCTTTCTACCAGTTTGGCTAGTCTTTTTAAATTTTTAAATTTTATTTTGCAGGCATAATGATACTGTATTGTCAAGGTGGGCCAGGATTGATGTTAGCTGGAATTTGATTTTGGGAATTAAAAAAAACCCAAACAAACAAAGAATGTCAGCTATCAGCATGCACTACCCCGAGACCCATCTACACTTACCAATTAAAACTGTAAATCGTCTATAAGCCACTCTTGTTATGAAATCTCACAAATCAGTGCTGACTTCGACCTTTACAAAACCTCAAGAAAGCCAAAAAATCATAGCATGAGAAATGAGATGCTTCGGGGAGATTGTAAATAAGACAAGAACTGACAGGGCTCGTGACTCAGCCATCAGAAAAGCAGTGCGTGCCATTCCAGTCCAACATCACAATGAATAGAAGCTGCATGTTCAAACATGCAAACACATCGCTGTCTCAGAATTACAAAGTTCTATCTGGTATTTTTGGCCGTTTTGATTTATTAAGACCATATAAGGTCAGAAACTAAATCTTCAATCTGCTCTATCAAAATAGTAAGAATATTCGGAGTCGTTATCAAGCTCGTAAAAGCGAAACATGTTGTGAAACTCAGAATCTCCGTAAAACCTCTACTGAAACTAATACAGACTGACATGTGTGTGTGTCTGTGTCTGTGTGTGTGTGTGTGTGTGTGTCTTTGCGTGAATACCCTCGCTGTACACGGGCTCTTGAAACATCAGATTGGACACAAATAAGGAAGAGAAGGGGGGATAACATGTGAGAAGAAAGAAAGGGAGGAGGCTAGGGCTGTGTGCTGGTGGCTGCAGGGATGGGTATTCTGAAAGAGAGGGAGAGAGAGAGAGAGAGAGAGAGAGAGAGAGAGA